CCATGTTTAAACGTTGTCTCAGCCTCTTCGAATTCAGGCCATACTCGCTACGGCGAGGTGGATCGACGTTTTGGTTTTCCAAGCACGGGAGTCTCGACCGACTCCTGATTGCTGGACGTTGGCAGGCAGCACGCACGGCTCGGATCTACATCAATGAAGGGCTTTCAGTGCTAGCCGAGTTACATTTGCCCCATAAGTCCCTCCTCCCTTTTTCCCGTGTGTTTCACTCTCAGTCCACACCCCCGGAAGCATCACACTTGAGCGCGCGCACAAAGCGCAGAAAAGGGGGACGTGGAAAGGGTGGGGGGCAGGTTCTATTTCCGTTTTTATGGGTAGCTGACTTCATGTTTTAAGAAATTACCTGGCTCCGGGCTCTCGGTATGGCGAGGGGCCCGGGGGAGGTATAGGGAGGCAGTTCGGTTCCTCTGGTCTGGCGAGGTTCTGAACTGTCGTGTCCCTGAGGTTTGGAAACCTCGGTTCACATGAGGGTGAACAAGAAGTCATGCTACTCTTTCAGTTTTCCACAAAAGACTTTAAATTCTTGACTCAACTGCGGAGCGCATTGAAAAGGACCAAGCAAGTTTTTATATATAGAATTATATATAGAGAGAGTGTGTTGCAAGTAGTGTTGCATATAGTATTATATAAAACAGTATAAAACAGTACTGTATCATTTATATATTTATATACATACATATATATATATATTTATCACCAGGCGGCTTTTGGATCTTTAGCCTCGGGCGTTCCGAACCGAGCTCCGACCGGCGTGCCGAACCCCTCGGGGCGTGGATCACGTCCCGTCATGGAGTTGTCCGATTACCTCCCCACGGAGCACGGAGTGCCATCAAGTCCCACGGTGGGGAGGGATGAGACAGAGGAGCCGCAGGAGCCAGGAGTCGAGCAAGCTGCACTAATGGCCAGGCAGATGAGGTTGCAGAGCGCACTGGTGGAGGCAGAGAGGGAGGAGAAGGCACAGTCGCTGAAATTGAAGTCCTTGAAAGAGGAGCTGTTGGCCGAAGAGGAGAGGCAGGAGGTGCAAAACACCGACAGCAAGAAACACTGAATACTGGTACGGGGAAAGTGAGAAGGCCAACGGGGGCTGACGCTGGGGAGCGTTGCATTCGATTGATCTTACAGCAGTTTAGCAGCATGTCAGACAATTTAGATCATTTTAAACCCCCTTCAAACCGTGACTTGGAACTGATGATGGGACAGGCGCCCAAGGGTGGTTCGCAGGGATCCCTGTTTGCGCTGCTGCATTGGTTGTGACTACCCTAGGAAAAGAAGATTTAGACGCTCTGTCATTGACAAAAGATGACATGAAAAAAGGCTCTCGGAGCGCAAAAAGAGCAACAGGTTAGGGCGGTGCAACAACTATGATGACCTGCACAAGGAGGGTATAGGCCCTGAGATCCGGCACCGAGCACCGCTGCCACCGGCCGGCGCGTACAATTCGTAGAATCGGCAGCGAATCGGCAGCGAGTGGCACCCTTGAGAGGATCCGGAACGGGGTACTGGCCATGGTTGGCGGAGATAAGATATCCCGAACTCACCAGGCCCGTTGGGAAACCGCGGGGAGAGACAAACCTTAAGCTTGACTCCAATGTGTTGTCCCTCCCACCACAGGCCGTGCCCCAGGTAGTTCTAACTGATCCCGTTCGAGTTCGAGTTCAAGTTCGCCAGGCGGCCAGGCAGCACCTGCAGCAGCAACCAAGCACTCAACCACCCAACCTTTCCAACCATTCCACCAGCCAACCTGCCCAAGTCGAGTGGCAAGACAGCTTTGGACCAGTTTCAAGACAAGCCATGCGGCATACCCTAGTGGAAACAGCTGTTCCGTAGAGCGGGGACCAAAAAAACACCTTCTTTGCAATCTGTGCAATCCTTTGATAGGAAGCACTTGGTGTCGGCCAGTGTCAAGGATCGCTAACCGATGTCTCATGCCAGTCCCATGATGTCTCATGCCTCAGACAAAACCAGCAGTCGGTGGCTGAGACTTGGGTATAAGAAAACCCGCTCCCTGAGAGGCAGACGTTCCTGCGGGCGGTGCTGGAGCGGCTTCGTGCAGGAGGTGCAGCTCACCGCTTGGCTGAACAGATGGCACTGCAGCGGTGGGAGGCTGCGAAGAGAGCTCAGGACCGATGCGATGCGAAGGGAGCAACATCTGAAACCTCATGTCCCAGACCACCCATGTATGGAAGATATACTGTATTACTAATGAGTCACTATTATAATATAGTTACTTACATTGGGGTCACAAATGGGGTTAACACGGGTTAACATGTAATAACTATATATATATATATTATATACGCACATATATATATATATACCCTGAGAGTCAAAGACTATAAAAAGAATTAAAAAGAATGGTCTTTAGGTGACCCGAAAAGGAATAACCTTTACTTCAGCCGGTCAAAATATAGTCTTTGGACTTCTAGGGTATATATACCTAGATCTTCAGTCCGGCGCTTTTACAGGGTCCGGCGCCGGACTTCCAACTCCGGCGTTTTTCTGGATTTGGTCCGGCGCTTTTTCCAAGTCACTTTATGTGGATTCTCAAGGCTTTGCATTTTTTGTGGTCTGCATTTCTATGAAGTTAAACCCACTACTGATGCAATGATTTTGTTTGCAAAGTGTGCTCGCTTGCCTGTTCCGCTGTTTTCTCATTCCACCGGTTTCAGCATGGTTCACACTGGATCAATCAGATCCGTTTAGCTGATCTTCTAAATGAAGTCGGATGAAGCCGGTACAGTGCGATGCACCTGTCGAAAGACCCAAGTGGGTGCACCTAAGCTGAAAGAGCATAGGCAAAAATGTACAGTACTCCCATTTTTTCAGGATGTCGGGGCGCTTCTAGCTGCGCAGGTTTGCAGAGCCTGCCGGACACGTTTTGGGCTGTGGAACATGTGTTGTTCAGAATCTCAATGTTTTGCAGAGAGTTGTCAAAAAATTGCACATCGTAACTCCGGCGTAATTTCCCGTAATTCCGGCGTAATTTCCCGTAACTCCGGCGTATTTTCCCGTAACTCCGGCGTATTTTTGTTGGACTGATCGAGTGTTCTGCAGGCTTTGATTGTGAACAGTTTTTCACAGAAGAGTTTTGACAGGGACCATGAGTTCTGCTACTTTATTGGGGGGCCGTCCTGAGGCAAGCTTTAAAGAAACATTAAGAAGCATGAGAATCATGAAGAGCAACCCACTTTGTAAAAAAACACTTGAGAGACACGGTTGCAGAGAAAGAGGGGTTCCTTGCCACATACTCCTTGGTTTTTTTCTTGGAAGTCTTTGCTTGGGCACAAGTTGCTTATATTTTGTGATTTCTGCTCTTAGGCCATTCGGAAGATGGGCGAGGGCAATGGGAACGGGAAGGTTCGAGTGTGCTCCAGAAAAACTACTCGCAGCGCAAAGGCAGTTTGCTTGTGTATGGTCCAACCTTTTATCATCCCTGTTTTTCAGAATCTTGGATCCGGATGTTTTTTCAGGTCTCCGGCGTTTTTTTCGGAATCCGGCGGAAAATTTTGCCGGATTGAGGTCCGGCACTTTTTTCCGCCCAAAGGAGGATCCAGGTATATATATATATATGTGCGAGTGCAACTATTCAATACATGGATGGTTTGGGTGTGGTTTCAGCTGGTTTCTGGAGGGAGGTACTCCCGACGCGGGTCGGACGCTTTCAATCCGAGAGGGAGCCCGAGCTAGAGATGGTTCCTGATCAAGCCCAGGTAAAGATCATTGAAGGCCTTGGTTGAATTTGTATAGTCAGCTGAAGTGTTTTTTTCTGATTTTTATCGTCAGTTGCAATTTCTTTAATATCACATGTCACCCGCAGGTTCATGGCCCTGATTTCGGATGATCCGAATATTCCGAGGACCAAACAGGTGGTGATGGTCCACTCTCAGTTCCATGATTAGATCATGGCAGCCTATCTAAATCCAAGAAAACATGAAGAGCATTGAAAAAAAGAACGAATCCCCCGTAGCGAAAATCGGAGCAAGACCTGAAGTCCTCATATATTTTCCTCACCAGGAGGAGCTGCTCTCGAACCAGCCCGTGCTGTCCGCCTTGGGGGCCGAACTCCAGGTCCAACTCGCTGTGCACCACGTTGGTGGCGCCAGCCATCCGGGCTGTGCTGAGGATGGGGCTCCGACTCTTGGGCGGATCCGTCCCTTCCACAAAGATCCATCAATCAATCAGAACTGAATTCCACACACACATTGAAACCTGACTGCTGAGTGTTTTTTTACCCTCCCTTTTGTCCGGAGCACCTCCACCCACTGGAGAACAGCATGGTAATTCAGCAGCATGGGTCTCGCATGGTCTAGCCTAACTTAAGTGCAACTGCATATATGGTGTTTGAAAGAATGTTTGCTTCCCCGCCCTTCTCACAGGTCTTTTGGGGGTTCCTAAGGCTGTTGCATGAGGAGCTATCAAAGCTTCAGAGAGAGATTGCTGAAGAAGGACGGCATCAAGAGCAGCTGAGCTTCACTGCTCAAACGCTTGAAGCGGAACGCCAGTGGTTCAGCTCGAAAGCTCCAAAAAAAGAGCCCGGCGGGGTGGCGTGATATGGCGTGATGGCGTCAACCACTCACGGTACGTGGGGTCGTTGGGTTCGGTGGAAGCTTCGGGGTCTTCCACCGGCGAGTCTGATGTGACCCCCCCCAAACGGACCATCCACGATGGCGTCGGGAGGTGACCTGGGCGTCCTGCGACCGGCGACCGGTCGCGACTGGGTCCTCCAGCAGTCAACGACCGGGTGCTACGGAGCGTGTCACTCGGTACCGGTTTTCTCCCGGCGACGTCGTACGGAACTGTGTGCTACGTCCCTGTCCCTGTCTGGTCCATTGGCTGGCTAGAGTCGGAGAGTTTGGATCACGGCTCCGCCCAAACCCAGCTCCAAAGACCTGGTGGGTCTGCGGCACCTGGTGACACGAGACCTTTTTTGGTGTGGTTTACGAGGGTTCTTCGCGAATTGCCACTGGCCCATTGGCGTGCAGGCAGAAGCTCCCAAGGACCGGGAAAGCCAAAAAATGGCAGGGAGGAGGAGGGCAGGAAGCGGGAGCGGGTTTCGAGCAAAAAATGAGGGGTTCAGCTGCGTTGAGGGGTTCAGCTGCGTTTTTTTACACTGACCAGTCCAGCGACCCCCTTTTCCAAGGAAAGGTGGAATTACAGTAAGGGACACATGTTCTCCCTAGATTCCCTGGCAGTTGATCAATGGGTTCACTCACAAAAGGACCAACATGATGGCTTCGATTTGTTGTTGTACAGGAACCTGTAAGAAATATCTCCCCAAGGGGGTTCACCACAGCAGGGAAAATATTAATCACCCTAGGCAAGGCAGGGTAGGCCAGGCTGGTCAATTTGGAAGAAACGACCAATTGCCCGACCTGACGGTCGAGTCCCCACCATGAACTGCAAATGATTGGATCTGCACCGAGAGGTCTCTTAGGGTTGGTTTGTTTGCCCCAGCTACATCCTACCCATTCCCTGACATTCCAGGTGCACTCAAGCTAGCGTGAATGCCGAAAACCAAAAACAATCGAGTGGACTATTGGGCCCTGTAAATAGTTCTAAATCACCCTATAAGATTGTGCGGATTGTGCGCCTAAATGTTTGTTTGGCTAATGCGCAACTATAAAGCAAGATGTGTAGGAATAAACCTCCAACATCAAACTCAACCTGCGGCAAACACCCAACAAACAAAGGCCTCCAAAACATATCAACTGGGTTCCATGTCTATGACCTTCAACTTGTCTTTGCGATAGCCTATGAGAAGGTTCGATGGGGTTGTGGGGTCTAATTATACCTTCTCAGGATGGTTGGAGTTTTTAGGTTGATAATTATGGAAGAACTCCACCCATGTCGACGCAGGCAGACCTCCAAAGACCCCCTGGAAGAAGATGGAAGAAGGACAATAGACAAAACACCGTTGTCAGTTCTGTGAGTCTGACCGAACTTCTCATGCACCAGCCAAGCCATTCGGAATCGAAACATGTTGCGGCGAACCGAGCGGCAGGCCGGAACCGAGCGGCTGGACAGAGATTCTTCTAAGATTTTTCACCAATGCCCGGGAGTAATGACCGAACGGGGGTTGAACCATATATATAGCACAGCTTAGTCAGCCCGCGGGGATGTGAATGAGACAATCAGTTCGATGAAATCAGTGGCCCTGTGGGCCTATGTACACATGACCCAGACACTCCATGTATGCATATGTATGCTATATATGCCTACAGATGCCTACAGTGCCTACATTAACCCCCAAAACCACCCCAATGTAGGGATGAAACTCGAGGATCGATATCGCTTTTGTTTTCGACCTCGACAGAACATGCAGAGACCCGACGGTCGGGGATTGGAGACAGTGTTGTTCTCGTGGAGGAGTCTGTTGCGATGATCCGGTGTTCTTCCTTAGAACCCTAGATGTAACACTGGATGTAATGTATTTGTAGTTGATTGTTTGATGATCCGGTGATGACCATTTCTTATACTGTAATGTAACACTGGAACGGTGACAATTGTTTCGGACTGGTCATAAGATGGTCAGAAGGCGGAGCAATTTACGGGATGTGAAGCTTTCGCTGCAGAAAATACGTTCTAGGGGAATTGCTCGGAAAACAGCAGTTCAGAGCACTGAGTACTGGTATGTTTTGATGTTCACATTAGAAGATTTTCAGATGGGTAGGCGGCAGGTGACATCATTCTCGGCATATATATGCAGGTGAGAAACCGTTACATATATATATATATATATGTGAAGCGGCTCATGAACGCGGTTTTCCAACCAACCCTAGGGGCACTTGATCTAATGTTCGCGGAATGGCTGAACAATGAAATTTGCACTCCCCCCCATTGGTAGAGGGTGAGCAAGAGCCTGGAGGAAACATTGGATCAAACCAAACCGCACACAAAAGAGGAACCGACAACCAAAACATTAGGAGTCCTTGTCGTTCTGTTGTTGTTGCTTTTGTTGGGTTGCTTGCTGTTCAAGTTGTTTGTCTTGTGGTGGGTGTGTATGTTGTGTGTCCTCGATATCGACGAGCTTAAGTCCTGCTGCTCTGCGCTTCTTCTGGGACGCTCGAACTTCATCATGTCGAATCCTCCATCTTTGTCCAAGTTGTAAGTACAGCCAGCCTTGACCTTTCTCTGAGGTCTTTGTCAAAACATTGGCTAACATGCCTCCTCCATCGACCCAGCATATTTCCACATCGCCCTTCAACAGGTTTTGTCTGAGACTCATGGCCTCAATGCCGGATCTTTTTTCTGCGCCTTTCACAGAGGGTGTGGCACGAACCAACTTGTCAAAAAGGTTCTTTGCATCCGTAATGAAAAGCCCCTTGACTTGTTTTGCTGTGCTGTCCACATCTCTTGTATTGACTACCTTGCCCTGCATTTCCGCCCACAAGAAACGTAAAAAGGTGAGGTCGTCTTCTCCGTCCAGGCCAGCCATGCATTCAGCGCTTGCCGGAGATCGACAGATCCTATCAATCTTACCGGACCGCCAATGAACTGCTGTTACTCGAGCTTCTTGACCTTCCCTCAGATGTCTTGTGGTCATCCCCACGAAGATGCCCTCCGTGGAGTCGAGGCCATTTGGCCGATTGGCATGGGCAGCATCTGTCCAGACTGCTAACTCTAGCTCTTCCTTTGGGTCGAAGGCGTGCACTCTGTACACCTGGTCTGCAGTCTTTTTGATGTGTCTGATCAACTTGTTGGTCTCGTTGATGTCTGACACGGTGCTTGTTGGTACCTTTGTCAGTAAAATGTTCACATCAACAGCAAAAATGAATACTGTCTGACCTGTCAGCCATGACAATGAACCCAAAGCTCCTCTCAACATGGTCTTCTCATGATCTGTTGTGGGACTTTCTGTCACCCTGCTTCTATCTCTCGACAGTCGAATCTCCTCCAAGTCGTTGATGAACTTGGATTGTCGCATGTCAATGCTGTAGTCTGGGTTCTGTTGTATTTCAATGCCACATTGAACAAAACACTGACTCTCCCAGGTTCCCCACTTGAACCGTGTCTTCAATGCTTGTATCAGGCCTTGATGTTCTGCACAACCTGCGGCACCTGCGAACAAGAAATCGTCCACATGGGCATGGACTGCACTTCTCACCACTCCGGCTTTGTCAGTCCAAATCCAACAGCATGGTTCCACCTCCAGTTGTCTGTAGCCCAAAGTTTGTAGATACTTGTTGACGCTTTTGTGCCAATGCAAGGGTGCTTGAACTAGTCCGTACGCTGCCTTCTTCATGAGCATCACGGAGTCGTCTGCCAAGCCATAGGCTTGAGTGATTTCCTTGACGGGACGACACCAGATTTCTTCCTCCAAATCATCTCCTTGAAGGAATGCTCCAGAAATGTCTCCCTTCTCTAACACCCACTGTCGCCAAGCTGTCATCTGCAAAAATAGCTGACGCCCTGCTCTTGACGGTGTTGGTGCTGCGGTAGGCCTTTCTGAGTACCTTGGATCTTGGTATCCCAAAACGATTGCTCTCGCCTTGGCCTTTTTGTTGTTGTCATCATCAATTTTCCAACTCAACAACCATCGCATGCCCACCACCTTGCTTTCATCCACATGTTTGCGCGCTGCTTCAAAACACTCCGAAGCCACAAAGTTTCTCACCTCCCTTTGTTTCGCTTGAATGAATTGAAGAACCTCTTCTTTGGTCAGTTTCTTCTCATTCACCTCAAGCTGTTTCTTCCGCATCATGCTACATATGTAGGCTTCTGGGTTGTCTGAAAACTTTTTCCAACCACGTTTGGATGTAGGCATGTCAATGTGCACTTCGATGGCCTGTAAGTTGTCCTCAACCGCATAGAAGGCCTCCATGTCTATCTCTGCTTGATAACCCCGGTGACCTGATGAGGGTCCACCCGGATTCTCAGGAGATGGTTCAGCTGGTAACATCTCCCAATCACTGTCCTCTGTCTCCATGGGTTCAGTCATCGTTTTCCTCTTCTTTTCAGCAAGTCGTTCAACTTCTGAGGGCTCGTTGTGGTCACCTTGGCAATCCTCCTTGGTAATCCCTCGTGGTTGGTCTTGAGGGTATCTGACCAGCGGTCCCTTCTCTGTGTGTCGTCTGGTAGGTGCTTCGCCTGTACTGTTGTCTCCTCCTATGGGTAATTCAGCTGCCTGTTCCCATTGTCCTTCAGTTGGTCTCTCCTGGGAGATGTCGAGGAATGTCCGTCGTTTTGGGTCTGTTGCAATAGATGTGATGGTCCATGGTAGTTCAACCGGTCCTTTCAAGGTCTCCAACTGTTGTTCATAGCTTGATGCAGGCCTTAACTGCTCTGGAGCTGCCCGCAACAATCTGCCTGCTCGATGAAGCCACACAATGGACCCGGGTCTCAAATTTCCTTCTGAGTCTTTTCGTGTCTCTGTTGCCAAGACACGAGCTGGTCCCAAAAATCTGCCAACTGATTGTGTTGTTTTGTCCTTCAATGGAACTTGGTTTCGCCAGTAGTATACCAGGTCCCCTGGAACATAGTCCACAACGCGGCGAGTCCCACTGCGTTGTGCTCTTTCTAGTCGTCTCTTTGCGATCTCTTCTGCGAATGCCTGAGTAGCTGTCATCCTTGCTTGAATGTCCTCTTTGAAGCCCCCATCATCCAACAAACCTGGATGTACTGGTCGTATTGTAGGGTCCTCGAAAAATCTACCATACTCATCTGGAGCCCGACCCAAGACTTGTTGTAATGGAGTGTAGCCCCGGTATTGTTCTTCATTGTTGCATACCCAGGTACTTCTAGCAATAACCTCGGTGGCCTCCATCTCTGGAAACTCCTCGCTCAATTTTTCTGCCACACCTTTCAGGGTTTTTGTTGCTCCTTCCACTAAGCCAATCTGCCAGTGACTTTCCCCTGGTATAGTGACATACTCGATGCCTTTGTTGCCAAAGTATCTGTCGGCCTCGTCGGACATCCAAGGCCCTCCTGGATCGCAACGGATGACTTTTGGATACCCAAAAATTGCAAACCACTGTTCCTCCAAAATTCCTTTGATCTTCTCCCAAGTGGTCTTGTTTCCCTTACCAGTACTAGCAATTCTTGTCATTCGGAAACGTGTTGCCTCATCAATCATCACCAGGACATGTTGTTTCTCTTTTGTGTGTGGATGCATCCAAGTGAACATATCAACCTGCAATCTCTCCCACTTCTGAGGAATGGTTTCCAAGGTTGCAAAATGTCTTGGATCTTTACGATGTCGATGTTCACAAATTGTGCACTTCCACTCTCTGGCAACTTGTAACACTTTGGGGTGTGCTGCACGTAGTTCTAATGCCTTGATCAAATTAGACATGTTGCTATGACCAGTACTGCAGTGTATCCTCTGTATTTTCCGGATAATCTCCTTTCGCTCTGCTTCCGGGATCTCCAGTTGTTCAGCTGCCTGCACTTCATGTTGGGCTGCTGCGTGTGGTTGTTGATCGTGAAGTTCATCAATGATCCTGGACCAAACTTCGCACTCTGTCAACGAATCCACAACTTTGCGAGTGAAAGCCGATGTGTAGCGTGCTGTATGTGCTGTTTCACCTCGTTCACAACGTCCTTTGGGATGGTTCTTTTGACAGCGTAGGTCCAAATGTTGTAGAAGTGCTTTGTTCTTGGTGGTAATTGTCCAAGCCTTGCACAATGCTGTCTTGTTGTCCCTGGTCCTGAGTCCCACGGTGCACCCGTTGCAGGAAACTCTTTTGAGACCATGCCGCTGTTCATAGTCCTGTAAAAAGTCCAAGTGCCAAGCCTGACATCTTTGTGACAACTCCCAATGAACCTCAGTCCCTACTTTCCAAGCTGCCTCAGCTACCTCAATGGCCCCTCGGTATTGTATTTTTGCTTTTTCTTGTTTGTCATCTAACCGAGCTGCCTGTTCTGGGTTTCTTCTATTGATAGCTTGTAAAGGACAAAAAGGTGCACAGTCACATGAAATCCACAAGTGAACTGGACGGAGTTGTCGAATCTTCCGCTTGGCCAATTCTACACCGGCCTGAGTCTCTAGATTGGCACCGTTCCAATCAGACAAGCGAAAAGCTGAGCCCTGACCAAAA